ATATTTTTAGGATTAATTGGCGTGCAAGAATTTTTTTCATTTAATTTTCCATTGCGCGAATATTTTTTTGTACTTCGTCCCCCCCCCATAAGTTTTCTAATGGTCCGTCCCTTACTGATCATTATTTCTACTCATAAAATAGTTGTGTCACGCAATTTTTTGTCCATAAGAGTTGTTTTGAGCTGTTTTATCTGCTCATTTTCTATTTTGAAAGATTCTTATCTTGAATCAGACGTTTGCTGTTACGGGTGGCATTTCATGATTTCCTCTATTTCATTTGTACGTAAATTGGATCATGTATATTACGGGGAGTGTCGAACGATGTATAGGCAGGAGCCTATCAAATGGAGCCTCCATCTCCCATACAAGCCCTTGGAGTCAACCCTTTCCCGAGTAGATTTATAATTAGAACGGTTCCCAGGGGATACTTCGCGCGCCGACGGTGGGAAGAGCCAATCACAACGACTAAATGACACTGCTATTGTACTTCATGAAACAGCAGGAAATCCGGTGCTGACAGGCCAAACAAAATCATAAGCTAGTGAAACGTGACTTTAGCGTTTTCATCCCTCAGAGATTTTCTTTCTTTTCTTTCTAGCGGGTAGATTATACTGTGGAGAGTTTTAAACTCTGACTATGTTAATCTTAATTTTGGTTGCTTGTCTCACATTAAGCTGGTCTGTTACATGCGTAAGGATTAACTACTACCTGCAGTCTGTGGTTCTGACAGGATTCGTTTTCTTTAGCCAATTTTTTTGAGCGTTAAGGTTCTCATTTCGGCTACATGACTCAATATTAATCAAATTTCTAGTTTTTCAAGTTTTTATCCGAAATGCGTTTGTCTGAATAAATACTGTGGTTGTTTTGTCCGTCAATTAGTGTGATGATTCCCTGCTATGCTTTGTAACGCCGAGCCCAGCCATTGTTTTCTCGCAAAAAAGTGATCTACAGATGCGAATTCGAAGGAAAGAATTGGCCTAAGCTTCTAAATTAATTGCTGAGAATTCTCCTGTTGGTCAGTCATAATTCTTTGGGCGCAGATACAATCCATTTTGTTTTTCTTGAGATAAGAGGGTCTTTGGGCTGGAGCGCGATGTCACAAATTCCACCGTTAGCAGATTACTTTTGAGTTAGTTTCACGGTCGAGCAACTGTTGTCTTCTGTTCAACTTTTCAAGTGCCAGTTTTATCAGGCAATTCTCATGGTGATACAAGTGAGTTGTAAAGGAAGACTGCAATTTTTCTGAAGAATTCCTCTTTAGTTGTTACTTAGGTCATCGCTTTTGCACGCGGTGCTTAACTGGCGAAATCCACTCCACGGCCATGACAAAAATAAATGATCCTGGCACTTTTTCGGCGCTGATCATCGAGAAGTTTCAAATCGTCCACAGAACGCTCAATCATCGACTCTTTTCAAGGTGCATGCTTAAATGTGGGATGTATGACGGAAAAAAAAAAACAACAACAAAAACAAAGACTCGCAAAGAACCTTTCCGTGATCCTCAGTTCGCTGCCTTTGTCCCATCGCTTAATGCTCAGTCTCAGTCGGGTAATTCATTAACTTTTATTTCATCCCAGATCCCAGCGGCTGTAAAACGATAAAAATGGACGTATAGTAAAAAAGGAAAACGGTCGAAGGACGGGCTTCTGAGTTCGACTTCATCCAACTTCATTTTTTTCACGGTGACATACGAGACTCACGGAAATATGACACTTTTCGCGGGAAAAAAGCCGTTCTATTTATAAATCTACTCGGGAAAGGGTTGACTCAAGAAATTAATGGAGATGGAGGCTCCATTTGATGGGCTCCTGGTTGGACTAATTAACTTCCCAACGGGCTAAAATGTAGGCACGAATGAACAATGTAATCTTACAGCCTCGACGTGACATTGCTCGTTGCATGTTAAGCTCAGTTCACCTGCAATTCGATAAAAATGATCAGAACAACAAAACAAATGTAAACAATACAGTTTGTGTAGCAAGTCAAAAGAATATCTACTGCCTATATCCGCCTCATTCAACATCAGTTAACAAGGAAGTCAATGATGATTTTGGTGGGAACTGCAACGGAGACTGTGTTAGTGAGGAAAAAGGACAAGGTTCTGTAGTCACTATACCGAATAGGTATAAAAAGGAAGTATCCGGCATAGCATAAATGGCGGCTGCACGGAGCTGGAACAAGTCGCTCACAGACATGTCGAACATCGTGCTGGAGCGGTTGGCCGAGAGAGTTTGGTACACTAAATTCCAATCCTCACTCTGAATATTCACCTCGCCTCTTCTCTTATTTTTCGCTACGTTCCCAACACCCGTTACATCGAAATATACATAATCTTTGCTTAAACACGATAATTTTTAAAGCTATAAAAGCTTGTGGTGTCGCGTGTTTAAGAATTAAACTAACCTGATCTACATCAAAACATATATACAAATTATATATATCAAGGCACAGTATATAGTTAGCTCAGGGTCTGAGCTTGACGATGAGACCAACCAAGACGGCAAGTCTCCTATGAAAATTCTCACCGCTGGGGATATTCTGGGTCTTTTTGAGGAACGTTTTCAAAAATTCGGGTACATGTACATTACAGGCGATCAAAGGACTGCGATGGTTCGCAATTTTTCCGTGGAGCGTTCATACGCGGAAATAATTTTGTTTTCAATCCAGAAGCTAATTCCTCGTTGTTTCGTGAATTCTTGCCTTGACTAAGACAACATCAGTTTATGATGCTTCGGAAATTAAGGAAATCAAATAATTCATTACTAGACATATTAAATTCTGCAAGGAGAATACTGCAATGCTGATCGTACTACGTGAAAATTCACTCTGCAAGACATCAATACGACACCGAAAGAACTAAAAAAAGATCGGGATTGTAGCCATAGACAGCTGTTTCGCCCTTTTTGGGGCTCGTCAGTATGGCGTAACAACCAAAGAAAGCTCTGACGAAAAATATCGGCACACTCTGATTAAAGACCTGACCTAGAACCCCCAACACCCACATAATAACGCCATACCACGTGTCTTCTGGGGGACAAGAGTCCAAGTGTCAAGTTGATGTCACGCAGAGAAAATAAAGGATTGGCCAAAACCAACCTCTAAAATATGAACAGAACCATGCAAGAATGTTTATTACCGAAAATAGTTTCGATCAACAACAACAATAAGTTTTATTTTCATTAATATAACAAAGCATTACAGTGTTGCAAAAGATACTTGAATTTAATTATTGATTCCTTTTTAAATATTTAAAATAACTTTAAATATAATAATCATTGCTTATTTTCAACCATCAGTAGGATTAGTTATTCCCATCATTTGCTGATAAGACTGAGTGTCAAATCAGCCATTGCAAAGCTATCTTTTGAGAAGCCCATTACTTTACCAAAGAACAATAACCAACCAAAAAACATACAGGGTCTGTGATAGTGACTTCCACTCGGATAGTAGGTTTGTCAAGAGTTCCTGTGGAGGTTTGTGTTAGTTAATAAATGTTTGGATCAATTAAGGTTTCTGGGAAACTGCCCACCTACCCCTCCCCTAAGCTAACATTAACACTTAGGGCAAAATGATGGCTTAGGGGAGGGGTAGGTTGGCAGTTTCCCAGAAACCGAAATTGCGAATGTTTGATAAAATAAAGAATTTCCCTTCTATTCTTTCCTTTTTTACGCGATAGATGTGTCACCCACAGGGATCCTAGACTGTGAAATAAGTGCACAGAAATGCCAACCGCCTTTTCAGACAATAACAGTAACGCCCAAAGACTCTAAAGTGACTTTGAACTGCTCGATTAAGAATGGGGGAAAAGTACAAGACATGACCTGGCAGGACCTTGAAAAACACCTCAATGCCAGTGACGTTGGTCTGTTCTTACAACAAATCGATTCAAAGAATAGAAGTCAGCCACGTGAATGTTTTTCTATAAAATACGCCAGTGAGTATGTTCTTTTTTTGCCCTGTCTGTATTAAATTGATGAGAAAAATATCATAATGCGCCCATCAGTTTTTTTGTGTTTTTAAATGGATTATAACGAATCCTATGAATGCCTCGTAACAGGTTTAGGCAGATTCAAGCTCAGCTGAGGCAATTTTTACGGTTGGAGTGATCGTAAAAACGGTTGAAGTTATAGCCAGCTGAATCACCTCACTTGAACGTGGTTGACCGCGAAACTCCAGTTACTCATGCCATGCTGGAGGGTAAGAAAAGCAAAGGGACATGACAAACAACAAACAAAGGAATCATTTCAAACGATGTTAGCTTTTTGTTTGGTTTGACTCAGTGCGTAGGCCCTCGTTCTCCAGTATGGCAGGTTTGTGCTACAAAAATGACTTACTGCAAAGGGCCTATTTAAAATGAACAAGGCATGGAGTAAAACATGGTTGGTTGGAAGGTGTCGGTAAGAGAGATGACTGTAGATATCTTAAAAATCGTTAGCTAAGCAACGATTAGGACGACGACGTCGACGAGGGCAGTGAAAATGTCGCTAAAAAATTAAATTTGCCTCATTTCAAATGTCATCGCGTCTATTTGGAGCTGCTTAATTTGTCAAATGTAGACGATTTCTCTTGCAGTTGTATTCTTAAGGATTTTATCCAGGTTCAGAAAGAAAAAGGCCAATTCGTCGTCGTATGTTCACTTTCTCTATAAAACGTCGCATTATTAGGAGGTTTCACTTCATAGTCGTGCAGTGAACGTCAAAAAAAATGTACTAAGAAGCTTGATGCACGTGAAGCAACTGTTGTTTTCACGTTAAAACCAATGGTTTTTTGACGTTGTCGTCGTAGTGGTTAAGATTTTCACATTTCAGATTTTGATTTTTTTTTTTTGCACTAATTTAAGAGGTTGCTATAAATATTACAAGTATATTACAAAAACAAGAAGAAGAAAAAACCAGCAAATTACATAAGTCCTTATCAAAGGTGAAATGTGCGCAGTCGAGTTGGTCACTCAAGCTCCCTAGTTTAAATGACTGGGTGCATGACTTACGAGCTTTGAAATTAAGACGAAGAATTCCTTCTCAGTTCCAGTTAAGAGAGTATCTAAAACAAGTTCTCCCGTTGACTACTATCCTGACACGAGAGAAATGGAACTGAAGTGTACCTTCAAGGGATGGCCTCGTCCTCGTGTAGTCTGGTACAATCCAGATAACAAACAAATCATCAACGGATCTGAAGGTTTTTACATCTCAGAGCAGCTGGTTGGAAAGGATACCTTACGTTCCATTCTCCGTAATGCTAATATCCAAGAAAAACACGAAGGGGCTGCTTATAAATGCACTGGAATGAACAACATGACTGGCTGGTCGAGTAAAAAATCAGGGTATATTGACCTGAATTATCGCTGTGAGTCATTTAATTTCTTATTTCTAATACTACACACGGATGCGCAAAACTACCTCCTTTGAAGCAGGTTCATAAAATACATAGTACCATGCTTCCCCTGTAAGCAGTGAAAAGTATCCCATTTAGACTACGAGAGACAGCTCATTGTCTCTTGATTTAGACGGAATTAAATATTGAGTGTTTCATATTTAAAATAACAGATTAACTTATTCCTAACTGAATTTAAAAAAATGTAACTGACAATTTCGTGCCACCTTCCTCTTCCATTCAGACTAAATGGACGCTGGAATTTTTATTTGTTTACCCCTCGGGTGACAAGGGATAAGTAAATAACTAAATAAATAAATAAATAATGACTTAGTGGCGCTATCTCATCCACAAAGTGGTGCTTTGTCTACCATTCTGGCTCAAATTTACCCTGCGCAGCTGGCGGGATTAACGTGGGAGTGATGTGTTGTTTTGGTGGCACTGGCGGAATAAGGGTGAGAAGCAACAAATCTCAACCTGGCCGGCCACATATGATGTTGCCTGAGGAATCAAGCAGAGGACAGTCATTAATGAGAGGGGAGTGTTCTCACCTGAAATTCAGTAGCACCTCTATATAACGAGGTCGTCGGTATAATTCACAATTATTCCACTTATTCCACGAGTGTGCGTTAGATATGAGATGGTAGTTAGCCAACGAGGCGCGTAGCACCGAGTTGGCTATAATTATCTCATATCCAACAAGCGCGAGTGGAATAATTATTCTATTAAAAACGCCCACAAAATATCGAGAATTCTTCCCGACTTTATTTGTAAACCAACCCATTTTCATCTTGTTTTTAATTTTGAGTAGACGCCTACAGTTACTATATTTAAAGAGCATGGTATAACGGCTCATATACCATGATGGCTAAGCCAATCAGAGATCTAGAATTGCATTATCCAATGATTCAATTTTTAAAAATAAGCGATATTCTCCTCCCCAGAAATAATACAGTCAAACCCCGTACATCCCGACACTAAAGGGGCCGTACTAAGAAAGAGTCCGTATTAACGGGGTGACCCTATTAAGCGGGTAGAAAATGTAAGGGCTTTCTGTCCCCAGGGACAAAGCAAACTGTTCGTAACAATGAGATGTCTGTATTGAGCGGGCGTCCGTATTGGAGCGGAGTTTGACTGTACAATAAATAAAAGGAACTTCGATATAACAAAACCTCTCTATGGCGAGCATATTTTGCCAGTCCCTCAGGTCTTCGTTCAGCTGTTCGTTACATCAAGATTCCAATGTAAACTGTTGTGTGGCTGTCAAATGAGAAAAGGAGACGCCGAATAGCTATTGAAATCAACACTTAGTCGGGGGTACCCAACGTCAATTTTCGGAAAATATCTGTTCGGAAGACGATTTGAGATCTAGAATTTTCGGAACATTTTTTTGTAAAATTTCTTGCTAGCCTGCTTCTCCTTGGATTTTCGAACATCTAAAAATTGGTAAAAATGCCCATTTTTAACGGATTTTTGCCCTGAAAAGGTCACCTAGAATTTTCAGGAGCCTTTTTTCTGGCTGAAATTTTCGAAAACGTAATTTTTGATCCCTATAATTTTCGGATCACTAGACTTTCAGCTAGGATGTCCGAACAGATGAAAAATTTTTAGGGGATAAAAATATGCCTATATCTACCGTTTAAATACCAAACTGCATTTAACAACGCTATGTTTAAGCGGTTTTGAACTATATTCTCGTTGGGTGCCCCTGCTTAGTAGCACAGGCCATACTGGTGGTGGTACGAGAAGTGGGGTTCATCCGATCAACCGATCGTTACAGCACCTCTAAAGTCGGCGTGACGAGACAAGTCGCAAAAGAGGGAACCAGTGGGATAAACAAAATCAGCACGTAAAAAATCCAGAGCGTTGAGATGCCCTATATATTGTCACAAATACTCAGGAGGGGAGGGTAAGAGTAAGAAGGTTACCCCTTACGGTTGCACAAAAAATGGTAACCATTTTCAAATAATCTTTGCTCATCATATCTTCTTATCATCTAATACAGGTCTCTTGCCTAAAGCTCCGCAGATTTCTTCTCTCGAGGTTTCGGAGATAGCCTACCTCAATGTCAGTTTAAAGTGCAAAGTAGGTGTTAGGCCAAGCGACTGTTGGGACAATTCTTTACGGTGGTATTTTAACAACAACTCAGAGCAATTAGAATCTGGTGAAAAGTATAATATACAAGAAAGGAAAACCAACACCAGATGCAAAACAGATTTCATTCTCACCATTATTAACGTTACTGAAGCAGACGAAGGAAAGTATAAATGTCAGTGGCTCTGCGAAAATGACTACCCCAGCTTTTCCAGGTCTTCAATTATCCAGCTGAAAGTATTTCCTCCTTCAGAAGAAGGTACTGATACTCCTGTGATATCTAAAGGTATTGTGCTGAATTGACCCATTTTTCAGATTGAATGAAGAACACTTTACTTTTCATCTGCAGTACAAACATTCTGGTACGTTTGCTAACCGTAAATATGGAGAACTGTCTTACCTCCAAAAAATCCGAAAATGTGCTACTCCGTTTTATTCAATCCAGTCTTGAAAATGGGACCCCATCCAGTGGCACATCCCCATTAGCCTCTTATAAGGAAGTACTCCCCCCACCCCCCTCGGGCTCAAAACAGTAACAGGGCAAATGGAAAGGAGTCATGTCATGTGAGGACAAGCTTGAAGCGTTGAAACTGATTGCAACTGATTTTTTTATTAGAAAACGGAGAATCCAATCCGAAGAATAACTCGCAATTGTATAACAGTAATTTTATCCGATCTGAAATCAAATTGTACAAACATATTCTATTTAATAAGGGTAATCAAATAATTGATTCATGAAACTAGAAAAAGCGGAATAAATGCCGATAAAAGCTAAAAGTTGATACAAGCGAAGTCACGTGGTTCTTAAAGGAAACAAACTCAATTTAAGCTACTTCAATTCTGTTTAAAAGGTAACGAAAGAATGACTAAATTAACAAAACGAAGGTAACATACAGTTCACTTACTTCTATGGTGAGTTTTCTCAAATGTCCCCGAATAAGCATTAAATCGGTCCGGGTAGCAGGTAAACTGTTAACACTTTCATCCTTGCAGTACGGCGGTCGGTAAAAAACTTATAAAAACTCGAACAAAGCGGGTACTTTTGTGCTTCCTGTTGGGCGTTTACATTTTCCTACTTTTGCCAGCAAGATTAAATGTAAATATTCCTTGAATAGTTCTTTTACTACGTTAACACTGAGGTTTTTGAAAACTCAAATACCCTAAAAGTTTTTCAAAATTCTTTTTTTTTCGCCTGTAACTTTTCATATAATGTCTGGGGAACAAATGTGTTTGATATGAAGCAGTTTTGTCATTTGCAAGTGATTTCTTAACTTACGCTGAGTTCCATTGAGAATACCGTAAGGACATATTTGGCAATATTATCAAAATGAACCAGGAAACCATGACGTCATAGCCCATTTGTTTCGGTGAGAGGGTACTCCCTTTGTAAGCGAATTGTTTAAAGCCGTTTGGGTCTGTCGTTTGGGTCTGTCGCGATACCCATCAAGGGGACGGCGAATCGTAACCCCCTTCTTTATCTGTATAATCGTTCCACATGATACAATAGCCGAATCAGAATCCAGCACTGCATCTTCAGGGCGGAAAAACGTAATGAGCATGCGTGAACTTTTTCGCCCAGATCCCCTGGCCGGGTTTGAAAAAATGGCGGGATTTCAAATATTTTATTGCCTAAAAATAAAATGTTTTCACTTATAATTTGGAAAGAACAGGCAATTTGTCTGTAAAAGTTGCAAGCTGTGGTTATAACCTTGTCGTTACTTAATTTTCTCGAAGAATACCTCATAGTAAAACGGACTTTAACGACATTAATTTCCTTGCGTTGTACTGGAAATGTGCATTCGTAGCTCCGATTTTTTTCGAGATGCATTCACAAAATGTGTTCATATAAGGAAGTTCCTGGATATATAAGGTCCGGAGCTCCACTGTGGACACAAAAACAACATATCTTTGGACAGTGATTTGCCCAAAAAAAATAACGCTTGCCCACAATGTGTTTGAAGTCACTGAACTTTGTCGCACTCGAGCTGATATTTTTTTATTAAAAAACCCGCGCTCGATCGGACACTCGCACTTTCGCAGATCACTAAAATATAAACAAAATCCTCAATGTAGAAGTTATTGCGTTGATATGTGGGCAGAAAAAAGGTCAATCTTTATCTAGTAAAATCTTCCCAAAAATCGGTTTCAAAGGAACTATAGTTTTTTAAACTTGCTCGTTTTGCGCAGATATATAAAAATTGCTTTGTGTTGTCAAGTTGAACAGGCATTAAACATCTGTCAAAAACCTACGCGTAAGTAGGATTTCCTTCAAACAAAGTTAAAGCTACATTATTTCAAAAACTTCTTGCTGACAATGAAGAAATGAATTTTCTGTGCGAAAACAACCTACCCAAAGATCTTAAAAGCAAAAGATCAGTTGCAACTTGGCAGCCAAGCCATGATCCACTATTTAGCTATTTTCAATAAGCTTAACTGGTCCATGCGAGGGTCTTCGTTTAAGCAAATTAAACTCATCCGGTCATTAGAAAATACAGAAAATTGCACATAAGGGTTTGTTTTGCTCGCCTCAGTCAAATCAAGCTGCACCAATTGTTTACGGGAAAAGAGTCAATTGTTTTGAAGTTTAACACTGCCGGCAGTTGTCGTTCTCTACTTCACAGCGAGTGAAAAGGACAATTTACGCACAGAAAGTTACTCTTATAAAGAACAGAAACTTTCACAGTGCACTGGAAAGCAAAACTATGTCTTAGTAATGAAAAATGAAAAAAACTCTGACTATTATTACTTGAGCAACAGAAAAATGATCTTGAGTAAGCTTGCTGGCCTTCTATTTCGAGAAAGTTTAATAAGCGCACAACGGTTTGTTGACTCTGATGCGTTAAAACAGCAATATGGTTCTTTCACTGAAGACAAAGATAAAGCTGGTTCTGCAAAGGTAATAAATCTGGGCATGTAAAAAAAGTAAGCGTAACTACTAATAACAGAATACAAGCGGGTTTTCATTCAACCCGGCGAAATCAACTCATATCAAAATTAATCGGATGCACAATCAGAAAAATACTCGCCTCTTAAGAAATGTTCAAAACCTTTTATTCCACCTCAGATTGACGGAATGATCCGTTTTTCCTTTAACATTGATTGTTCTGAATCCAAAGTAATTTTCAAGCGACGAAAAAAAGCAAACATTTCAAATAAAAATGCTTTACAGGAAGCAAACGTTCGCACCTCGTGCATTTCATTCAGAACTCCAGCAACAAACAAACATAGTCAACACACAGAAAAGCCCGCCTTGAGCCTGCGATAAGGGATGCGCAGAAGCCTGCGCAGAACGTTTTTCCGCCCTGAACACTGCATCTGGGTTGAGTAATGTATTAGGTTCCAGACATCTTATATTTTAGGGCAGGTTTTGCACATGCGCAGTTGCATTAAAAGAATGACTAGCAAATGGTTCGTTTCGTGTTGTTGTTTAAGACCAGAATATTACAATTTTGGTGACCAGGATGGCGCTTGTAGGTCAAGTTGGAGAGTATGTGGACGGTAAAAAAGATATTGCAAGTTATATCGAAAGAGTGTAATTGTATTTTGCGGCGAATTATGTCAAGGCGGATTACAAAGTTGCTACTTTTCTAGCGTTTATCGTAGCAGATGCATATGGCATGGCGCGAAAATTGTCAGCCCCTGAACGTCCAAAATATAAGTCTTTGTGCAATAGTATGAAAAGCTGACTGAACGATTTGGAAACCTAGCTCTAATTTCAAAGTCACTGATCAATAAGTTCCTGGAGATATCAGCAGATCAGGATGACAACAATTTGACAGCTCGCGCAACATATATTGTGAGAACATTTATGGAGCAGGTTTTAGACCAGCAACTAATATGCAGCAGATTGTTACAAAGCTACCTCCAAAAATTGTAGTAAGGTGAAGCAGGCAAAAGTTAAAGCTACAGCCGAAATAAGTTGATCTTAGCTACCTGGTGGCTGAAGGTTGACCTTAGCGACCAGTGGCTGAAACCGACAGTCAAGTCGAAGTGATAGCCTTTGGTTGCTCCAGTAATATAGAGAATCCTGAACAAGAGAAACCCAAGACAAATTCAAACAAATCGAAGTGGCTCAGGAAAAAGAACATGCGAACGCAATTTATGCAATTGGCCTGCTGCCAACGTCAGTGGCTTCATAGCTCATTTGGTAGATCATCGCACCGGTGATCGCGAGGTCACCGGTCCAAACCCCGTTGAAGTCCTGAATTTTTTTGTTTTTGTTTTTGTTTTTGCATTTTCTTTCAGGCTTCTTTACGCAATTGCATAAATTGCGTTCACTGCGACCATCATTTCTTCATTTTCATTTCATTTCCGCAGTTCATATGTGATTTATTTCATATATCAATAACACTCATTTCTTTCATGGGAACATATGAACCCACAATTGACCTCCTCCCAATGTCAGTGGCTTCAAAGCTCCGTTGGTAGAGCATCGCACCGGTTATCGCGAGGTCACGGGTTCAAACCCCGTTGAAGTCCTGAATTTTTTTTCAGGCTTCTTTACGCAATCGCATAAATTGCGTTCACTGCGACGATCATTTCTTCATTTTCACAAATCACTTTGGGGGAATTATTGATAGGCTCAGTCTAAAAACAAGCAAGTTGCATTAAGTGAACGCTTGAATCAAGCCAGCTTATTAGCAGAAGGATGCACGATTACAGAAATTTGCCTACAATTCATTTCTGTGCTGACGTATTTCTGTTTACAAATTTTCCTATTCATCTCCAAATTCTTTCTCCGGCTGTTAAAATAAATTGCATGTAAAAAGTGCAAGAGGAATAAAGGAAATTACACCTTCTAATAAAATCTTTCGTTATAGTTAAAAGAATTCTTGAAACTGAGAATGTTTTGATCAAAGCAGCGTCAATCGATTTGAATCAGTGCATGGAATCTTGCGTTTTCTGTTTTTATCTCCCAAATATTACATCAATATGAATCTGTAAATTTCAAAGAGCTACACAAGAGTCATACAAAGGCAAAGGATACAAGTGACCAAAAACAAAAAAAGAAAAGGGACGTTGTAATGTCAACTACACTAAACACCAGCATATATATAAGAACCAACACCGGGGCATATGTTTACCTATATTAGTAATCGTATTTGTTTCTCTTTTCATTTGAAATTTCCTTTTTTTGTATCGATGAAAGTAATATGTTGAGGACGTTTCCCCTTTACCAACTTTATTTGCAGATCCTTCGACACCATCGACACAAAAGACTACAAACTCAACTTCAACAGGTCAGTGATGTTAAGGGGTGGTCACTAAGTATAGTGTTGCAATGGGACTAATTGTACGTAGTTGCGGATCCAGACCTTCAGATAAGGGGGGGGGGGGGGGTTTAAAAAAAAATTTTTTTCGATCTTTCGGGTCTTAATACGAAACAGTGGAAGAAAACAGAACCACCCTGAGTCGGCCCTGAGTCGCTGAACTGTTATGGCAATTCAAAAGTAATTACCGGGTGTCAGTAAAACACGGGGCACGGGGTCGCGGCCGGGGTCGGGGTCTATCTCTTTTTTTATAGAATACCGTTTGAAGGTTAGGATTAGGGTTATGTGAGGGTTAGGGTTAGTGTCAACCCGAACCCTAACCGTAACCCTAAAACAGCATTCTTTAAAAAGAATATAGGCCCCGACCCCGGCCCCGACCCCACGTTTTACTGACACCCGTAATTACCAAAGAGTTGCATCGTGCTCCAGTCTAAAGACATTTTTTCACAAATTAACAAAATATAGGCTCTGTGATAGTACCACAGTACAGTACCATTAAAATTCCAGGGGGGGGGGGGTAGACTCCACATATGAAAGGGGTGGGGATGCTCGTCAAAAAATTTTGAATTAAACTCCTAAAGGAGACTGGTCTGAGCGTGGCCCAAGCTTTTCTTTGATCCCTAAAAGAGGCCATGTTAAAACACAAACAAATGAGAAAACTTGGATTATATGAATGGAGTAGATGAAACAAATTAAAAATATACATATCAAATATATATTTTTATATTTTTTCGCGTGCAACCCTAAACGAGACCTTCACGGCTAAATATGATGGCAAAATTCAGGCACGTGTGCGGGGTTTGCTCTAACGAATTGTGATTCGCTAGGAAGAACAATTGCCTTCTATCAAGTATTTTTCCAGCAGGGGAGGGTGGCTTTGGGCAAATGGCGTATCAGTCTCCAGAAAGGTCACCCCAAGACTCCCGGGATGGGTTTTTTTTTACAGTGCCCAGGCCTCATTTTCTTGGCCGCGCGTTGATCTGGCCCGGCCACTTGGGCGAGCATGTTCTCAGTCTTTTGGGATTATATCCTTCGAGTTTGTCAAAGTCTGTGGGATTCGTTTCTCTATCTGGGAAAGCTTCATTGGTTTCTATATCTGCTGCTATTCTATTTATACGATCCTGGCATGTTTATTTACCGTTGGAGTTGGAAAAAGTTGTGTTAAAAGGGAGCATGGCGGCGAAGAGGGCATCTCGTGTCTCCTACCTTTTATATTATTATTGTATATAGAGTGAATTTGAACAAATTATCACGAAACTTTGTTGGAGCATTAAGAACAACAACAACTAACTGCAGAGTAAGTTTCATTGATCTTTATTCAGTATTTTCTAGAAATTTTAGAATCGCATTTTTACCCCATACAAAGATTGTAAATTTACTGGAACCGTACTGTGGTACTATCACAGAGCCTGGGTTACCTGTGGTAGGCCTTTCCCGATTGTGCTCGGCAACTTTTGGCGTTTGGAGCAAATTTTTTCGGTTCTAGCAACCTCGAGCAAATTTTGCCTTTCTGAACAACTTTTGAGCAAAATATAGGTTTAGTGGCCCCTCGGTCTAAAGCACATATCAAACTCGAAAAAGTCAACGATTTCATAGAAAACTTTAATTGTTTTAATTTCTTTTTTAAGTTTTTTGAAATTTTTGGAATATTTTAGTTTTTTTTTCTTGACCGATGTTAGTAATTATTGTGAAGAACGAAAAATAAGCTTTTAATTAACATTTATATATAAATATCAAGAAATTTAGGTGCCATTTTTTGAAATTTAGGTGGCAAATTTTTGGGCATTCCATTGAGCAACTTTCCAGCATTTTATGAGCACAATTGGGAAAGGCCTGATGCTGGGGGGATACTCCCCATAATGGCATATACGGGGGGCTCAAAAAGGGGTACTTTTTTCAGGCATTAGATCGATGAAAGGGTAAGGATTTTACTTCTTAAACTACATGAAAGGGTAGTTCTATCTCAGCGATCGTCGTCGCTGCGAACTCTGAAAAGTCAGGTTTCCATATGATCGCTATGATCGCTATGATCGCTGCGATAGCTGAACTTTTTTTCTCAGCGATCGCAACAATCAGGGCGAGCGTAGAGATCGTAGCGATCATATGGAAACCAGGCTTTAAGCTCCCTGTTAGCCTGCGTCGGGTCGCAGACATAATGTACCAGTCAATAACAAAACTGCCCATGCCCCCGCGCAGACCCCTGGAATCTGACTTTTTTTGAAAGGTTTTGGTCAAATTCCCGGGTATGTTGGCAGTTTAGATGGTCAAATACCCCACCGGCTAGCGCTTCAAAAAGTGTCAAATCCCCCACTCCATTAGCGGCTATTCATGATAAAAAATTTTCTCCATGCGTCAAACCGTTTATTCAAATCTAAATTTCTTCCTAAACACAACCGAAATATCTCAAGTCTAGGAAAACTGTCTTAGGGAGATTTGTTCATTCCAATAACATTGTTCATTTCAAAAAGCCCATTTTTAACGGGCTCTTTCAAGCTACGTTCAAACGGACGCAATGTTGGTAGTTGTTGGCTAACAATGTTGCGTCCGTTTGCACGTAACTTCAAAAGCTCTCCGAAATGCCGCAATAAAACAGTGAATATAGGAGCAATGACGTCAATAATCCTTGAACGTGATGTACACGCTAAACGAAACGCTGACCAGCACTTTGACACGAAAGTCAATGCCCGACAGGTCGGGCCTCATTTTGGGTCAAATTTCCCACTGTACGGAAAAATACCCCGGGGTATGCCCGGGGAGTGGGAGGTTTTAGAATTGACTGGTAAATAATGTAACCCTTGTTAGAAGTTTAGTTCCGTCTTTTGCGCAGGCTAGCTAGATAGATTAAGGCTCGGTACTAATAAACATTCGGCTGGCGCACGATATATAGCGAATAGCAAGTCTTTGGCGCAGGCTAGCTAGATAGATTAAGGCTCGGTACTGATAAACATTCGGCTGGTGCACGGTATACCTAGCGAATAGCAAGTCTCGAGTTACGTCATAAAGAACACAACAATGATCCTTATCCCTTACACAATAACACAATAGAACGAGACAATAGTGTATATTGACTTGGTATATCGAGCATCCTCCAAACATTCGCTCATTTGTTTAATACCCACTTTTAACTGAGTCTGGATTTCTAATTTCTTTGGAGAAGCACCATCAGATACAGAAGCAGCAACAACCGGCCAAGGTAACAGCAAGTCAGCTGACAAGTGGATTCCCGCGATTGCGATTTTAACGTCTGCACTGGCCTTGTTTTTGATCCTGTTTACGGCGTATCACTTTATTGGTAAAAAGTCTGGCAGAGGATACTGCGCGTGGTATAAGATGACATCCGATCATTTATCAAGCAAAGAAAATCACTAAAAGGGACTTCGTCACGAGGATACTTGGCTGAGATCATTACTTAATGCCTCACAAAATGCTCAGTTAGATATAAGAAGATTCCACACAGGAAGCACTAACAGAAAGCACTAACCACAATATTTTTTGGCGATTTTTGTAGGCAGAGCTTCAAAATTTAAAATGTTGGTTTTAACTGTGTAAGCTTTCAATCCATGTCCATCCTTGCCATCCGTTACAACAGAAGACAGGAATAAATTTCAATGCCTAAATTACATAATTCTGTAAACATAATATATAGATTTAGCAAGGACTAAAAGCGAGGCTCCCAGTAATAAAGTTATGATTTAAATCAAACAATAAACTTGTTTTCCACAATTCAGTTAACTTTAGAGCACATTCATGTGACTTTTCAGCTTTCTAAAGTACGACGTTGATAGTAGTCTGTAGAACTACTTTAGAAAGCTGGTTTACTAACTTAGAACAAACGCCACTGAATCGTAACCAACTTTTACCAGCACCGTACAAACGACTCATTGACAAGATCAAGCAAAACTAACTACGAGAGAATGACAATTTGACTAACAATAGACGACTGTTTAACTGTGACAATAGACGGATCGAAATGCACCAATTACTGATTACGAGTCTTCATAGCCAATAACATCACGGCTTAACTAACAGACGACCAATAACATCGCGACGTAATTGACCAATCAGATCAATACCCAAAGTATAATACCATCAACTGACGTGATACAACTCACTTTGACTCTGAAGATGACTACCGCACAGGTTGTCGAAGCGTCAGTCACTATCAACAACAACAGTCCTATTCAGGACTACGTTCATCCGGACGATCAAACTCAACCTACTTTTGAAATGACTCCTGGGTTCAAACCTTTCACAAGACTCAAGATGCTGTGTAAATTTTCCGCATGAACTCACCAGTCAAATTTTGACCAATCAAGGCATAAAAATTAGACGAAGAGCGTGACCAACGTGTGATCATGGCGAGCAAAGTCAAAGGCAACTGTGTTCCCTGCCTGTAATAGCTGGCTGAATTTTCGCGTGCGAGGTCAATTTGAAATCAAAATTTTAATTGTGCTGCAGAAATACATGACATACTTCATGTGAATTTTTAAAAGATTAAACTTGAGACTGCGATCATTTCAAACCTAGAAACTTTTCAGCCGATAACTTTAAATAGTTACTTAACCTCGATGGGTCGATACCTGAGCCAGCGATACGGTCATGTGATACTGGTCAGCGGATACCCTGTTTTGAAAGCTGTCAATTGATCACAACATTGATGTCCAATGTGTGCATTATCAGTTTTCCTGTGCTCTCAAACTAGCTAGAATTAAAGTATGAGATTGAACATTGGTCGCGATCTAGTAAAGCAATTAACCGGTCAGCGG